CTCTGGTCCTCCCTATTCTATTGTTTTCTTCTATTTCTTTGCACTGTTCATTTAAGAAGGCATTCTTATCTCTTCTAGCTATTCTCTGGAATTCTGCATTCAATTGGGTGTATCTTTCCCTTTCTCCCTTGCCTTTCGCTTCCCTTCTTTCCTCAGCTACTTGTAAAGCTTCCTCAGACAGCCATTTTGCTTTCTTGCATTTCTTTTTCTTTGGGATGGTTTTAGTTGCTACCTCTTGCACAATGTCGCAAACCTCCATCCATAGTTCTTCAGGCACTCTGTCTTTCAGATCTAATTCCTTAAATCCACTCTGTATTCATCAGGGATATGATTTAGGTCATACCTGAGTGGCCTAGTGCTTTTTTCTACTTTCTTCAATTTAAGCCTGAATTTTGCAACAAGAAACTCATGATCTGAGCCACAGAGCACTCCTGGTCTTGTTTTTACTGACTGTATAGAGCTTCTCCATCTTTGGCTGCAGAGCACATAGTCAATCTGATTTCTGTGTTGACCATCTGGTGATGTCCATGTGTAGCATCATCTCTTGGGTTGTTGGAAAAGTGTTTGCTATGACCATTGTATTCTCTTGACAAAATTCTACCAGCCTGTGCCTTGCTTCATTTTGTACTCCAAGGCCAAACTTGCCTGTTATTCCGGTTATCTTTTGGCTTCCTACTTTAGCATTCCAGTCCCCCAGGATGATAAGGACATCATTTTTTGGTGTTAATTCTAGAAGGTGTTGTAGACCTAAATAGAACTGGTCAACTTCAACCTCTTCAGCGCCAGTGGTTGGGGCATAGACCTGGATTACTGTGATGTTGAATGGTTTGCCTTGGATTTGAACTGAGATCATTCTGTCATTTTGGAGATTGTATCCCAGTCCTGCTTTTCCTACTCTTTTATTGACTATGAAGGCTACTCCATTTCTTCTGAGGGATTTTTGCCCGCAGTAGTATACCTGATGGTCATCTGAATTAAATTCACTAATTCCTGTGTATTTTAGTTCACTGATTCCTAAGATGTCGATGTTCAGTCTTGTCATCTCATGTTTGACCACGTCCAGCTTACCTTGATTCATGGATCTTACATTCCAGGTTCCTATGGAGTATAGATCTTTACAGCATTGGACTTTCCCTTCATCACCAGACACATCTGCAACTACATGTCCTTTCGGCTTTGAGCCAGTTGCTTCATTCTTTCTGGCGCTACTAGTACTAGCCCTCTGCTCTTTCCCAGTAGCACATTGGATACCTTCCGACCTGAGGGGCTTATCTTCCAGCATCATATTTTTTTGCCTTTTGGTAGTGTCCATGGGGTTTTCATGGCAAGGATACTGGAGTGGGTTGTCATTTCCTTCTCCAGTGGATCAGCTTTTGTCAGAGCTCTCTGCTATGACCTGTCCATCTTGGGTGACCCTACACGGCATAGCTCATAGCTTCACTGGGCTACACAAGACCCTTCACCAGAACAAAGTAGTGATCCATGAAGGGGATACAGCATATTACAACATTCCAATCTGGATGTCTTGAGAACATGATAGTTGAGACCAGGCCCTCCTCTCCAGATAGGGTTGCATGTGTTGAACCAGCCTAAGGTTGTACAATGTGCTTCTGGCTATCCCTGCCACCTGAGGTCTCCCCAGCACCAAGTCTAGGAACACACTTGGTCCATCTAGGAGCAGATGTAATCCTCTATCCAGGATGGTTGGTTCTCCTTCCCACAGCACTTCTATAGTTTTTCAGTTACATTTTAGGTTGGATGCCCTCACTGATTGCAGAGCTTCCTTCATGCACCAGGAGTTCCACATCTGCAGTGAAATCACCAGTTTCTCAGTGGGAAGAGCATTTTTCTTAGTAGCGATAGTTATATTCTGCAGTGATGTTAACTCTGGCGCTTATGTGTAAGCAATGCTGATAGTGCCAGTTTGCTTTTATGGAGAGTATAAACTGTTTTATATTTTAATTCTACATTATATGGAATGGAGAAAATAGGTTTTGCATAATTGCAGGTAGACAGCTATGGAGAAATATCTTGCAAAAGGCATAATTTAATACTGCTCTGGCAGTCACTTCAAAAGTTCTGAGGCATCCTGTGCATAAACCATTTTGGTTTGCATCTCGTTAACCATGTGTTTTATGAAGCCTATGTTCTCTCTGTGCATTCCTCCTGCAAATATATTGCTTGCTGTAATGCCTTTTCCTACAATTTGAAACAGGCATTTTTTGGCCCTAAGGGTGAAGTTCTACGCATGTTTAGGGGCAGTGTTGCAGAGGGGAAGCAGGAGGCTGGCAAGGGAGAGAAATGGGCAGGGAGAAGAGAAACCTTTCTTCATGCTTGACCTGATACACAAGAAGACCAGGAACTATTAGCATTAATGTAAATCCCAAAGGGAGGTAGAGTGAATGTGTATTCTTTAGTCAGGGAAAGGCTTCATGGGGCAAAGATCCCTGGAGGAAGAGGAGGAGGAGAGGCAGGCCCCAGGCTGGGTGCTCCAAAAACTAATCAGGAAGAGTGGCTCTCAGCAGGGCTGCCCTTGGAATCATGCTGGTTTTCAGAGGTCTAAGACTGTTTTGTCTTCAAAAGAAAGACTAAGAGCTGATAATTTTGAAAGGATGATATTCAGGTGAACAAAAGAAAGAAGTTTCTTCTTCTTGGCAAAGAGGAGGGGTGTTTTTGTTTCTGAGTGGGCTAATGGCATGGCCTGCTTGTGGTCACATGAACCCAGGGCTGTCAGTGGCTAAATGATAAGTGATACAGCCTTGATTGAATTAAGAAGCAGGGAAGATTAGGCATTAAGGTGTTCACAACCAGCAGAAAGTTTGTCATGTCTTGTCCAGTTCCTTAGAAGCAATTTATTCCTATTGGCTTCTGTGAGTTTGCTGTAAGCAGGACTGCAAACCTGTACACATTAACCTGGGAATAAATCTCACTGTATTTTGTAAGAGTTACATCTGAGTAGATACTCATAGGATTACACCATAAACCTATCTTCTGTTTATAAGATTACTGCTACATTGTAGCTAAGATAAATGATAGAAAATACTAATGCATTAGCAAAGTGATAATGGGGTTGTGCAACAAAGGCAACTTCCTTACATGGGTGGTTGGGTTGTAAACTGATCAAGTAGCTGTAGGGGGAGGCCTTTGCTGCTTTAAAAAGATCATAGGGTTTCATCTTCCTTCCCAACCAGCAGTGTGTATATGTGAGGGAGATATGTTAGAAAGAAAGAAAAAATAGAAAGATGTCCTTTCTAATGTTAAAGAGAAATTAGAAAGAAATGTGGGTAATAGTAGATAATTTGATTATGGCCCAAAACTGGAAAAAAAAAAACATGAGTCCCCTATAGAGGAGTGACCAAGGAATTTCTGCCCTACATTGCTAATGAATGAACATGAAGCATTTATGCAGTTGTGAATAGGAAAGGTTAAGGCAGTTATTGTAAAACTAGAAGGTAAACAACCACTTATACCCTATTAACTTAAAATTATGGAATGGTACAGTCACTGGTGATGTTGCTGTTATATTTTAACTTACAAATAATGGGAGATGTGAAGGTGAAATTAGACTGGCTTTTTGTATTGAAGTTTGGTTAGATGGTCCCCTGGCACTTAGCAGCTAAACATCTTCTAAAAAAATGATTTGGCATTAGGTTTTATCACCACAGTTGGACTAAGCTTTTCTTTGGAGCTGGTGCCTATGCCCTAAAGGTGCCTTTTGCTTCCCAAGAACTAATGGTGATGGTCCCTTGCTTGTAATGCAGTTCACAAGCTGCCTGTGTTCTGTTAATGGAGATAAATACTCGAAACTTTCTGGGCAGATCAGGGTCAGTGCCCTCACCTAGTCCCTGCTGACTGTTCCACTTGAGCTGGTCTTTCTAGCGACCAGTAATTTAGTTTCTGCTGGATACTTTGTCGTGGTACATAGCTTAGAAATCTGTACTTACCCCTTTCTTCTTCTTTTAATTGCATTTTTCTAAAGGGGATGGTCCAGTAAAGTTAAACACTTCAAAGTCTTTCCATTTAAATAGTGGAAAATTAGGACATGGCCAACTCTAATTGACACTGATGGCTACTGTGCTTAAAAGCACAGTCCTGGCTATGTACACTCAGAAGTAAGGCCCACCAGATTCAATGGTACTTACTTCCAGGAAAGTATAAGATTGTTGCCTAATTTTGGCTGGATTGTGCTTTTGTATTTCTGCATGATGACGTGTGACTTTTTTTCTTTTATTAGTGATGCAGGTTATGGAGTGGAAATTTTCTCTTTGAAAAAATAAAGAGATGATACATGTGAGCATTCTAAATACAAGCTGTGTGCCATGAATACTTAATATTACAGCATCCTATGAATATTCATTATGTAGGAAATTGATGGAACAGTAGAATTACATTAGTGAAATTACAGAGCATCATTACTTGGCCAGAACAGGACCTGTTGTTACATCTAGTGTTAGCTAGGACCCTGTGGAATGACTTGCCCATTAATGGCTGATGAGGAATACTTATGATGGAAGTTTAATATGTATCAAAACAAACTGTTGCTCTGTAGTTTCTGAATGTGCTAATTAATGTGATACATGCAGCTCAATTATGTCATGAACTGTTTTTTCTGATTCTTTCTGTGAGGCTGTTTCCCAGTTACTGAGGTATTGCCAATATCCTGTACAGGGCTTAATTTTGAAAAAGCATTTCAGGGCAATGAGTGGCATATGGCCTGCATATAAAACTGCCACAGCTCTGAAAAATTCTCAAAATGGCCTGAAAACTGTGAAGTCTCCTAAATACAGGATACGCTCCAAAACATCTTGAAATACACATGGTGGAATTAGGGTGGCCAGATGTAGACAAGGACAGGGCTTCTGCACTATCATTCGTTATGTAGCGGAGAGAATTTCAGCAGATGTTCCTTGCACATAAAGCTACACGCCTCTCTAGAACAATTAAATGTTCAAGAGGCCTGTCGTCTTTTTACCTGGCCACCCTAGCTGGGATATAATAAGGACAGAGTCCCAATGAATGTTCTAGGAGCAGTGAGTTCTGCAATACTGTTGAAGCTAGGCTGTTGCAGATTGGTGGGGGAACTAGAGAGAAAAGGCTTTCCACTGTGGGTTCTGACCTTGTTCTCCACATTCTATCGCCACCAAGCAATTCTAAATGAATTGTTCCTGATCATTTTCAGCTGCGCAGAGACAGGCCTGCCCATGGCAGTGACCTGAACTGCATAATGCTGTCCCATGCTTTGTTCAACTAATGAGGTGCTGAATGTTCAGTTCTTGTGACAGATGAATCCAGCTGTGCTTAAAAAATGGTTTGTGAACAACCCAGAGAGAGAACCCATGGTTTCTTGTTGGGTTGTAAACTCTGAGTTATTTACGTAAAGCACGGATTGCTATTAAAATGTGAACTGAAAACCATGGGTTTGGAGAAGTTTCTTGCTGAGGATTGTGACTTTCTTTTTCTCACATCCATTTACACAAGTGAGTCTGAATATAAACTATATACTGCTTTCTCCAAAAAAAAGTGGAACAAAACTGCAATAGAACTATGCCAGCTCTAAGATTCAGAATACATATATAAAAGAGTAGGGTGAGGAGTAGGATTGGGAGAGAAAAGTTAAGCACAGCAAATGGTGATTATGTTTACAAGCAAGTCTAATGATTGCCTTGTCTTTGTTTTCATCTTCAGATCTAAAATATGCCTTCCTCACTTGAAAAAGAGTAAGATTGGACACATCCTTAATATCAGTCCACCAATAAATTTAAATCCTGTCTGGTTCAAAAATCACTGTGGTAAGTATAATTTTAGAGCTCTAATCCCCCTCTTAAATTTTGCACCCTGTGTTCACATCTGCAGCTTTTTAAGCATTTGACCCCCCCCTTCCTCTTTGACCTTGACCTGTTCCATTGTGGACAAACCTTGCATACTATTTTTGCACTTGGCTTTTATTTATGCTGCTGGGGAGACATGGCTACCAAAGCCTTTTTAGGTTCATCTATAGCACTACCAGTGGTACTTCTCCTTTGATTGTATTGCATCTTTGCATGCCATTCCCCAGACAGCTTTCCTAGTACACGAACAGCTGTCAGCAGCAGGCCGTGTTGCTTGACTGGATCTTCATCTATGGCAGGAATGGCCAGCTGGTGCTCTCTGGCACTCATTGGGCTTGTGAGATGATTTTGTGAACTCAGTCTGATTTGAACAATTTCAAACCGGTTTTTCAGAAATCTGGGTATTCTGCCTGTGGCTAGGACTATCTTGACTTCTTGTGAACCGTCCCAAGACATCTGCAATGGGATTGTATGGAAAAGTTTTAAATAAATAAATAATAAATCCTGAAAATATTGTTCCCAGCTCCTGTAGCAACCACCTTTTCCTTGAGTAGTTAACTACCCTTTTAGGCCTTTACAAGGGAGCAACCATGCCTTCTTGGTCCTAATTTGTAGAGTGTGCAAATGAATTTTCCTCCAAGTATTAGCTGCTAATACGTTTTGTTACATTTATACACTGTTTTAAATCAAGATTGGCTCCTGGAGCAGTTTGCAATAACTAAAATGGATCACAGGGTGGTGATGATCTAAGATGTGCAGGCTGTGCCCTACATATTTCACACATATGCTCCCCTCTCTCCACTCCCAGCCCAGGCTTCAGAAGTGAGCCATCCCTTACATATGGAATGCTATTTGCAGACTGTTCTGTTGCTGATTGCAGCACTAGCCCATAAAGTCAACCAGTATGATTTAACTTCCTAATCAAAAGGTCAGAAAACAGCAGTGGCCTTTTCCCACATATGTGGAATAGTTTAACAGACCTGCTGTAGTGCTGCAATTTAATTTTTAGGCTCACAAGAGGACTACTAAATTAATAGTGTGGTAGGGAGATTCCAGTTTCCATATATCCAGTTTCTAGATTGCATATATCAGCTTGCCTGAGTTGTCATTTGAATGTCATTTAGCAATGACAAAATGGCAAACAATGTGTAAGGGCTGGATTGTCTGCTATTGTGCAGCCCTCTTGCGTGGATGATTCCAGGGGGTCTTGGAGATAACCCAAGAAGCACAATTCTGAAATCTACCAGAAATCCAGTGGGACAGATTGAACAAAATCTGTATGCTCCTAGCCTGGGATACACAGAGAATTCTTCCAGCTGAGATCCTGCTGCTGTGCCAAAGCCCATTGGGTTTGGTACCAGTCTTCCTGAGGTGTGCCATCCAGTCCTTTCCATGCTTCCTCATGAAGTTTCATTGACAGAAGAAAACCTGCAGCACAGTAGAAAGAACATCCCTGGGTTCACCATACTTGTTTAATCTTGCATTACCATGGAAGCTTTGACAAACCTGGCGCATCAGGGAGGAGAGTTTGAGAGAGAAGAGAAAGGGTAAGGGAAGAGAGCTTGTAGAGTATGGTAAATTGGTGCCTCCTAGATGTTTTGGATCACCACTCCCATAATCCCCAAGCATTAATCCCTCTGGCTGGGATAACTGGAGTTGGAGCTGGAAAGCATCAGGTTGACTATTCCTCCAATAGTCTGTCTTCCCCTCCAAGAATGTGAGAGCTAGTCAGGATTTCACAGTACAGCTTGAGTAGAGGACCCCTGCACTTTTCTTTCTTTTGATGGGTGGGATGTGTGTGGTGTGTGTGTGTGTGTGTGTGTGTGTGTGGAGAGACTACTTCAATTTAGACTTTGTGCAGAGGGTTAGAGTGCCAGGCTCCTGCATTGTTTGAGATGTTCAGAGGAGGGGACAGATGCCCACTGGCTACTCCCTACCAGAGGACTGCTGCTGTGAACAAATAAAATGGAGGTTTCTCAAAAGGTGTAGAAGGGTAGGGAGCGGATGATGGAGAAAAAAGATCATTCACCAAAGGTAAAGGCTGAGAAGAAATGTTCCTGGGGTGAGGGCAGTCTGGATATAATGAAAAGTCTGTGCAGATAAGAGCAGCTGTGCTTGATCAGACCAAAGAGATATCTGGTCCAGGATTCTGAGTGGCTAACCAGATGCTTATCATATATGCATGTGCTCATTCTCCCTCCCCCCTCTCCTCCCCCCTTCCGCCCCCCCATTTCTTATCCCATTCCTCCCTTGCCAGTCCTGCTTTTCCCATGATGGGATTCTTTCCTAAAATAGAGTGTTTTTAATTAATTAGTACATGCCATTATTTTAAATAAATGGGTATTAACGTTTATGTTCTGTTCCAGCGTATACTATCTCTAAATATGGAATGTCCATGTGCGTGCTGGGAATGGCAGAAGAATTTAGAGGAGAAGTTGCAGTGAATGCTTTATGGCCGCAAACAGGTTTTGGATTCCCTTCAAAAACTTTATAATGCTTGGATTGTTTCATTTTTAATTATTGGCCAGATTCTGATTTAAATAGATTTACTTTCGAGTATGATTTTTTAAAGTTAGATAAAAATGTAGTTTCTGGACAATATTCCTTGGGCAGCTTATTCCTTGGTGTTGTAGAGTAATTTGTTTTCATTTGACAGTTAAAAGGTTAAATATTGAAATAGAATTCTTTTAGAATAGTTATTTATTTGACACAGTCCAGCCCTGTACAAGCTTACATGGGAACATGTGCTGCTGAGTTTACGAATGTCTAAAAACTCAGATAATGGCCTCTTGTAGCTCAAAGCAGGCAGCTTGGCTTTTGTTGCCAGCTCCACTAGTTTCTTAAATTTAAGGACCCTTTTTAGACATGATATGGCAGCAAACCTGGGTCTGCTACAAAGTATGTACTTGTGCATGTATGGCACCTGATCTACAAAATGTACGTTTCTTGTATTGCCATTTGACAGTCTTAAAGAATAAAAGTAGGAATAGGCCCTAGAATGTACTTCTTCCATTAATTAAAGACATGTCTAACCTAAAGCTCATTTCACTGTTTCTGCTCTATGTAGGTCTTATGTTGGAATTTACTTCTAAAGTTAGATGGTCCCCATGGACTCTCTTGTCTAACCCCCTGCTACTCAGTGCAAGAAATCTATTGTTAACCAGGACACATTAACTAGGAGGGCAGGATGCTCCAACGGAGCAAAGCTCAGGGAACCAAGGTTCAATTTAGAAGTACTTCCTGACAGTTAGCACCCCAAGGATATGGAATGGGCTTCCATGGAAGGTGGTTGAGGCACCATCGGTGAGGGTGTTCAAAGATAGGCTGAACATGCACATGGTGGGCATGTCATGAGCAGAGCCGGCTGGAGCCAGGGGTCAGACTAGATGGCCTGTGAGGCCCCTGCTGACTTGCTCTGTTTCTGTTTCTATGTAACTAAGCAAATTTTTGTGTATGACCTTCTTATTTAGCTATATATACATCTGCGATGGATATGTTGGGAGGAGCTGGTGTGGAAAAACAGTGCCGGAAAACAGATATTTTAGCAGATGCTGCATACTGCATTTTAACAAAGCCCAAGAGTTTCACTGGAAACTTTGTCATTGATGAAATTTTGTTGAGAGAAGAAGGAATTAAGAATTTTGATCCATATGCAGTTGCCCCAGGTAATCTAGATTTTATTTTATTTTCTAATGTGTCTACAAAAGGAAAAATTGCGGTTCTTCAGTTGTGTAACTGTTGACTGTGGGAAGGATCCAAACTTAATCATATTCACTTGCTTTGGAAAACGCAGGTGTTAAGTTGCTGCTCCTCCAGACAACATTATATGTAGATTTTATGCATCTGCATGCATGCATATTGGAAACCCAGTCAAGTTTCCCAAGTGGATGGGTACCTGTGCACAAAGACAACTTTAAAAATGTAAAATGCTACACATTTGCTATAGATAACATCAGTATTTCCTATTGCAACTAAGGAGTGGAGGTAAACCTGAAAAGTGGAAAGACACATTCTGATATCATATAAAAGGTATACCCTTTTAACATATTAATTCACTGTATTTTTAGGTCACCCTTTGCTGCCAGATTTCTTTTTAGATGTGGACCCCGATACACTAGCAATGAAAATGGAAGCACAAGGTGAGAACTTTCTTTCTCCCTCTGAGATCTTGCAGGCCATGTGGCTGGAAATTATAGACCTCAGACTGGTGAAGGCTGCCTTTGGATCTGAAACCAGACGTTGTGTTACCCTCCACAACACCACATTTTCCGATCGCAGTCCCTTCCTTCTGTGAGCTTCCATTGCAGGCAAATATAGCAAATGGATTCAGAGTTGATTTTGGGAAGGGTTTTGGGATTTTTAGAGCTTAGCAACCAGATATCTAATTCAAATTGCATAGCAGGCAGGTTTCAGTAACAACTTTACCTGCAAATCTAAATGCTAGCTTTTGAAAAACCAAATCTTGAGGACAATAGTACTCTGTACTTTAGGGACCAAAAATGTGGCTCCTCCCTAAGAGCTCATTTCTAGTTTTCTATTGAAAAAGCTCCTTGAAGCCCAGTAAAAAGGCAATGGGAGGTCATTTTAAAGTGCAAAATTAATTCCAAACATACTTGATTAGCTGACATTCCTAGAAATTAAGGAAATAACCTTCTCATTAAATTTTGTCATTTTCAAGTGTCTGAGAAAAGCTCATTAGGTTCCATCTAGTGTTGTGCGAGCAGATCTCTGCATATACTATGGAACTTCTTCCTTTCCTCTTCCCTGCACCCCATGACCCCCAGATCTTCTCCAGAAGGTTTCCTAATCTCCAGAACTGATTTAGGTGTGTGTTGTCAGCTCCAAGGTGGTAGCAGAGAATCAGTTCCGCCAACAATATTCATTCCTCTGGGCAGACACATATGGATAATTGATTATCCCTGCTTGACATGAATTAAATCCAGAACTTCATAGATGCAAAGCATGCCTTCTGCCTATGAGCTATGACTCGCTGAACCAGTATGCTTCCTTGGCTTAGTTTTCATGACTGCTGACCATTTCTCCGTTCCATATGAGTTAGTAAGCACTAATTTGAATTCAGGAGAAAATATGGTTCCTGTTTGTTGAAGGGTGAAGCTGGAAGCAAAGAATTGGGAGAATTTGAGTCATTTGAAGTACTTGAATCGGAAACAAGTATTGATCAATGTTTCCCGTGCAGGAGCTTCTCCAACATTCAAAGAGGGGAAAATGCAAGATGTTCCCAAACGTGATGGTCCTGACAAAACTAAGCCTGATGGTCCTGAGAGAACTGGGCTTCATGTGCATTTTGCTTCAGAAAATGCAACTGGGCCTGTGGCAAACACTTTTAAAATTATAAAAGGAGCAATTAATGAAGATGTTGTAAAGTCAACTCAAGGAGTCTATCGGTTTGAGTTATCTGGTAAGACACAGATTTAAGAGTTAATTAAGATACCAGATGGGTTTAGGATACCTCTGTTATCAAAAATTTAGTAAGATTAACAGAAAGAAATACATCTTCACAGTTGTGGCAATAATCAACCTTCAATGTAGTCTCCTATGTCAACACAAAAAGATAAACAGAATAATCTAGTTCGTTCATTCGTTCTCTCTCACACACACACATGCACGCACACGGAGATATTGAGATTATGAAACTTCATGTGGATGCACTGGGATCATTTTGTTCAGCATCTATACAAAAGAATGTGTGCAGTTCTTACAAGAAAACATGACAGTTCATTTACTTACCGCCTTTAGCTGGTATTGATAGATTGCTTTTGGAAGTTCCTATAACCTGCCCTGAAATCAAGGGAAAGAGGTAGCTAGAAAGCTAAGTGATTATATCACAGGGAGAAATCCACCAGGAGAGTTAAAAAAAAGCCATTATAGCAGATACCCCCAGCTGAAGCAAGCACAGATTAAGCCAAGCCTGTGTATCTTGCCCTGACTTTTAGTAATGTTGTCTCTTCCTAAAAATATTTCAATGAAACCATGTCTTTAATGTTAAAATCTCTAAATTACTTGATTTATACATAAAACAAATAAATGGCTAATTTAGTTTGCAATATTTAACTGTGTTATTCCTGCATTAGGTGAAGAAGGAGGGACATGGTATATTGATCTCAGAAACAAAGGTGGCAGTGCAGGAAGTGGAGAACCACCTGGAAAAGTTGATGTGATTATGAGCATGTCTAGTAGCGACTTTGTAAAAATGTTTTCAGGTAGGTATCGGAAGTGTCTTTGGCCCTTTAGCCAAATGTGTTTGTGTCCTCTTGGGTTATTGCTAATCAGAGCGTTTACTGTTCTTAGAGCTGCTTACACTGATAACTGTTAGAGATGGTGTAGAATTCTGTGGGCTGCATACAGCATACTGGCCCAGTTATAATACTGGTATACCACTAGCATGAGTTGTGATACGCCAGTAGCATAAGCTGGCTCAACATGTTTCCATCCAGAACATTAATCATGCCAGAATGTGCGCTTGGCATACTGCAAGAGGTCGTGTACCTTAGTGATTCAAGCAGACTGGCTGTAAGATTTTGCCCTGCATTTTAATCTTGGTTTCTTAATTCTGAGAAGTTCAGCATTACTTATAGGGCAGTCTTTCATACAAGTCAGGCTATCTATTCCAAGAAAGTTAACTTCCAAAATTCTTAGGTCAAATAACAGTCTGACTACTTTTACTCCACACCTTATCAATAAACATCATGCTGTTGAGAGGAGGACTAAAAGAAATCTAGCACAGAAATGTTTGTAGAAACAATTAGGACTACATTTGGGAGCCCAAACATTCTTGACCATTTTACTATACATTTTATTAAAAGAACTCTTGCACCTTTATGTGAGGTAAAGTTCGTAGCACTTGGCAGGATGATACAGATGACAGTGCTTCTCTGCAAGGTGAGAATGCTTTCCATGGTTATTACTATAAACTAGTGCAGTATAATCCTGTCCATATATTCTTGGAGCTGAGGTTGACAGTACAGTGTCTGCAACACCGCTCACCAGATGCTCACATCTACCTCTCCAGATGCCTGTCTCTGTAGCATCTGCTGCTGTTCTCACTTCCTTCTCTTCCAGCACCCTCACCCCGTATCTCCACTGCTACAAGCTCGATTTAGCTGTTTGGTCACTCTGTAGCTGCTAGGAATGTCTGGCATAGAGGGGAAGCCACATGCAGCCTAATAGCTGTGCATTGCCCCCAGCTGGTCTAAATGTTAAAATCACACCTAAAGCTTTCTCTGTAGTTATTTAGCTTTACAGTAGAGAAGTCTGTTAAGTGAAAAGTCTGCCAGGGTCTCAATTATTAGGTGAAATGAAAGGATGCAGGGGTTTTGTTGCAATATTTCTTGATGCTTTAAAGCTGTTTTTGTCTGCTTTCAGGAAAACTGAAGCCAACCATGGCTTTCATGTCTGGAAAGCTGACAATCAAGGGTGACATGGCCTTAGCAATCAAGTTGGAAAAACTGATGGGTCAGTTAAATGCCAAACTGTGATAATAAAAGGGCGATTGATGTGTCCCATTGAACTCTCAATAAATATACAGTGCTTTGCTGTTGAGGATACCAGTGCCTGCTCTTTAACATGTTATGATTTATCACTTCCTTAGACTTAGGACATTTGTAGGATACCTGGGTTCCTAACTTGATTTACTTAGAAATAAATGCTGTTGGTTGAAATGAGATGTATTTCCTAGGAAGAGTGCTCATAATAAATGTGGAATAGATTTATTTTCTGATGAGAATTAATGCACCATGAAATTACACAAAAACATTCTTGTTTCAGAGAGGCCATAGGCTAGATATTTTGCCATTTTCCTTTTTCCTGAGGTGTCAATGTTTGATTTTTCCTAAGGATTAGATTCTCTTAAAATTCTGCTCTAATGGCTATAAGCCTAAGTCTTCAGCTTAGAAGGGAAACTTAATCCTTTGCCCTGTTGCGTTGTCAACCCAGGCCTGACATCGGAAACCTTCATTAGATTCATTAATACTGAAAGACTTCAGTCGAGTACACCAGTGTTAAATGGCAAATTAATTGGCTTTAAGCTGCTTCTGTCTTTTTGTTCTTGGTATTGATGCTTTGGAAGAACAGGTGCCTTCTCTGTTTTAAACACAAATTTTCTACATGAATTTCAGTAACTAAATCACTTATTTCCTTAACGAATTTTGATTCTCTTTAACCAAGATCAGATGCTCAGGGGTTAAAAGGCAAAACAAAGCCACCAGTATTTGCTTTAATTACCAGCTGCCTATATGATTATCTTAGTAGCATTTTGGAATACAGTATTTTAAAATCCTGTGAAAATGTAGTTCCTGCCAAACTGTACATACAAGATAGTTTAAATAAAAATCTCTCTGGGTGTATGTCTGTTTACTTACAGTTCTCCTATTTGGTATGCCAAGTGACACTATTGTTATGGGGTAAGCAAATGACAGTGAAGGGTTCCGGGTATTCTTGCTATCATTTTAATGTCTTTTATATGTTGGATTTGTAGCACAGTCCAAGGACAGGTAAGAAGGATTGCTTCAGACAAACACAGATGTTTATGTAGCACATGCAAGGGGCTGAATGCAAAGATGCTTCCTTTTGGTACAGTTCTTGTAGTACTGGGTATGAATGTATCTTTTTCACAGCCTGGCTCTCCATCTCACTTCAATGAACATCTTAATTGTTTATATCATATCTTTGTTTCGTTCAAGGAAATCCAGGCAGTTTACATAATCCTTCTCCTCTCCATTTTATCCTCACAACAACCTGTGAACTGGGTTTGGCTGAAAGCCTGTGACTGGCTCAAAGTCACCTATTGAACTCCCTGGCTAAGTAGAGACTAGAACCTAGAGCTCTCAGATTCCTGGTCCTACACTCTTAACTACTCCACCCCACTGGCTTTCCAATATTTACAGATTGCCAGCTTCAAGTAACAAAGCATTAAGAATGTGCTTGTGTTAGGGGATGAATTTCAGAGAAATAGTGCCTACTTACTGTCCTTGCCTAAAGAACAGATCATCCATTCACCCTGGCCTGATCTACACATCCAGCAGAATAAGATGGTAACATGGATTGTACCATGTCAAGTTGTAGGTCAAGGGGTGCTCCCCCTTTTTAAAGCAGATCACAACCTAAAAGGACAAGAGAAATCTTGACTAGTTGCTCCTTAGACTTTCTCCAAGGTAACATCTGTTTATACTAGACCTACAAAACAGATGGTGTCCAGGATGCATGCTGTCCAGCAAGCCATTTCTGGTGGCCTGTCAGATCCCTTCACACTAGTCTCAGCAAGAGAATGTGTGCCTTATTTCCTGATGAGAGGCTGGAGTTAAAGAAGGGTTTATCTGCTAGTGCTAGCTGTGGGGGAAGCAAGGGAATCCCCAGGTATGTGCATGTTTGTACATTTGTGGGCTCCTGGCACTGTCCAATGCAGTCCATGCAACAAGAAATGTTGTGCTCCACCACCATATGCAGCATGGTTTCCTAAAGTGGAGATGAGGTGCAAAGAAAAGCTCAAGTCAAGAAACTGCTGCTCCCCCCTCCTTTTTTTCTAGGCACTGTGAATTTTAATTGATAGGTGAATTCACCGAAACATTAGTGGATTAGAATGGTGGGACCCATTTTAATTAAGACATGTATTTTATTAATGAGACTTGGAAGCGAGGACATTTCTGAAGTTGTCTGGATTTATTATAGTATTTGGCCATGGCAAAGAGAATGTTAAGTGGCTTTGTCTTTTAATAAGGAATGACAGCTCTTGTTTATAAATCAGTGTCTTAAACTTCCTTCAGTATCTCAGAGGTATTTATGCTGGATACTGGTAATTTACAGATTTATAACAGTAATTGACTTGTTAAAAGATCGGTAACCTAGTACAATCCTATTACTGTCTGCCAAGAAGGCAGTCCTACTGAATATAATAGCATTTCTCTGAAAGACACCTTGACTGATCTGACCCTACAATATGCAGCCCCAAGGAAATGTCGGGTATGTTCTAAAGTGTGCTGTTATGAACATACAGTAACAGCAAGGCCCTGTAACCCTGGCCCATTCATCATGTGACCCCCAGATGAGATAGTTCATGCTAAGCTTCTGTGGCAGACGTACAGTTGAAGTGGTCCACTGAACACAAGACAGCTTGAAAGCTATTCTGGTTGACTTAAGAGCACTAGTTATTTTAATTTGTTCTTCTGGTGTTTATATGTTAATACTTTTACTTACCCGTATAACTGGGCACTTTTAAAAGGTGCCAGTTTATGCTCAAACAAAGCTGTGAAGTAGTTCTCTTCAGGGGATTATCTGAACTATAAACAGTAGCAGTTTTTCCATGAATTAAGCCTTATGTAACTTGCATATGTGATGTTTATGTACTCTGAACGTTTTGTGTTTGCCAGAAGGTTAGTGATGACCTTTTTAAAAAAGAAATGTGCCCAGTAATATATGTTTAGGCTCCCACTTTGGTCTTTTGTGTTTCATAGTTCAGCAGCAAGACATGATACTGCAAGACAAAGTGCAGCCTGGGGTTCATGTGTGTGTGTGTGTGTGTGTGTGTGTGTGTGTGTGTGTGTGTGTGTGTGTCCCCGAACTGGATGTATCTTGGTTTTCCCCTTCCTTAATATTAAATCTGATTAGAAAAAAGATTGTACTGATGTTAATTTAAATAAGGGTCAGTAGAGCCTTCCAGGGAAAGGAAGAAGGGGTAATTAATCTTCCTATATAACTTTCTAAGTGGGAGTGTGTTGCCTGCCACTATTGATTTTACAGGTAGTAAGGTTTTCTGATCTAGCCTTTTTTGCTGCTAGGCTGTGCTTCATTTATTTATTACATTTCTCTGCCTCCCAGTAGGCAAAGCTCTCTGAGTCATTCATAGCATGATCAAACATAAAGCTTTTAATGCCAAAACATTTAAAGGTTTTAAAACAAGTTAAGGATAATTGATAATACAGTTACCAGGATCTATATCCTACTCTGTTCACAACGGAGCTAATTGTAGATGAAACAGAGAGAGATTTGCCATACAAAAAATACTCCCACGTTAGCAAATAGAAATCTCAAGGGTGCAGAGATGAGGGGGGAACAATAGTCACCTCATAGCTTAGGGCTGAATAGTTAACACTTAGGCAAGCCTTTCCAGCTTAGTGCCCTCTGGAAGTTTTAGACCACAATGTCCATCATTCCCATCTGCCATACTAGCTCAGGCTGAGAGGAATTGAAACAGGAAGCATGGAATTTCTAGCCAACATCCAATACAGCAGGATTTGATCAAGGATTCCAAGGGAAATTAGGATTGGGCCAGTAATCAGGGTTGAGATGGATTGGTAGACAGGTAAGAAGGGAACATAGATTTCGGGCCTTGGTATGAAGTTTTTCAGTTTTCAAGAGGGAATGCAGAACAGCTTTGGGAAAGAATAAGAACAAGAGCGTATAGGTAAAAGATGGGCAAGGCAAATGTGAAGGCTTAGAAGGACTCAAGGGACAGCAAAAAAGAACCGAGAGAAACTCTCTGTCCCAGAGTAGATGTGAGCTTGGAAGCAAGAGCTGATGTGGGCATGGGGCTGACAGCTATCCGTGAGATTTTTGCTTCCTCAGAACCCTGCTGGAACTAAAGGTCCCTTTAGTTCAACATCTCGTTTCCAATGGCAATAAGCAGAACATGGAGGTAACTGCCTCTCCTGTTATGTGTCTACCAGATCCAAGACTCAGCTGTGCTGCTGTTTTACAAAGAACTTCAATTTCAGCAATAATGGCTAAATGATTTAAAATCATCATCATCATTGGTGGTGACTGGTCACCTGTTCTCCATAAATTTATGCAATTCCCTTTTAAAACTACCTAGAGCTATTATTTGTCACAGCATCTTGTGACAGTGAAAGACAGATGGCAAGAGTGCAGTCCTTCCATTTTAAGATTTTTTTCCCTTAAGATTTGAAGTAGCTTCTGAAACGACACCCCCAGCCCATCAAACAAGGAAATGCCACTGACTGCTCCTTTACCTCCTGTGACTGTAGGGTTATAATAATCCATATGTAATGGGATGAAAAGAATTGCTGTGGAGGGTATCTCTTTTGAAAATAAACAAAAAAATAGGTGGATATTTATGTCATATGGATGGAGTGGGGAAAAGCAGGTTGCTTACCTGTAACTGATGTTCTTCGAGTGGCCATCTGTGCAGTCACACATATGGGTGCTGCGCCTGCGCAGTGCCTTTGGCCAGAAGATTGATAGCTAACGGTTTTGGCGGGAAACTCCGCTCCCCTCCCCACCAGTAGTATATGTAGAGCAGAGTTTCTGCCATTTTCCAGTCTTTGATAGACCGGACGTTCGCTCTCTATAGAAAAAAAAATTAAACTAAGGAAAAACGTCTTAGGTACCGATGACAAGAAATACGGTGTAGGTACTGAGAATAAAGAATAGTATGGTACCGATAACAAGTTCCACCCATCGACACTGAGCGGGGCCAGCGGGTGGGTTGTGTGACTGCACAGATGGCCACTCGAAGAACATCAGTTACAGGTAAGCATGGACATCCAAACGATAATGTTTAGCGAATGTGCTTGGAGTGGCCCAGGGCCGCCCTGCAGACATCATCAATCGGGACCCCCACCACGAAGGCTGAAGAAGCAGCTACTGCTCGCGTAGAATGACTCCTTGGGATTGTAAGTAAATCTATCTTAGCCAACTGGTAGGACAAAGTTATAGTGTGAACTATCCATCTGGAGAGTCTTTGAGGGGTAACAGGAGAACCTTGGTCCTGCTCAGAGTATTTAACAAAGAGCCGATTGGAGCGACAGATAGATTCAGTCCTTGATCTATAAAAGGCTAAGCAGCGCCGTACGTCGAGCACGTGCAAGGATCTCTCAATTGGATTCGATGGAGATGGAAAAAAAGCAGGTAAGACAATCTCTTGACCCAAGTGAAAAGTTATAGCCACTTTTGGTAGAAAAGACGGATCCATTCGTAGAACAGCTTTCTCCCTATGGAAATTCAGATAGGGAGGGTCTACCCTGAGGGCACAGAACTCACTAGCTCTTCGAGCTGATGTAACCGCTACAAGAAATGCTGTCTTCCAAGAAACAAGGCGCAAATCAATAGTCGCCAAAGGTTCAAATGGAGCTCTGGTTAGTGCTTGTAATACCACTGAAAGACTCCAAGTAGGCATAACTGGTCTGATTGTCGGATGAAGGTTATGCAGCCCTTTAAGAAATCTCTTTATCAGTGGTTGAAAAAAATAGAGGATCCCTGAATTGTACCACGGTAGTAAGAAATTGCAGCCATGTACACCTTTATGGAAGATTTAGTCCTAAATGGTGGAGTTCTAAGAGAAACTGAAGAATATTCTCTATGGATGCTGAATATGAAAGAAACGAACGAGACT